TAGACACAATATTACACATGTGTGCATAAACCCATACTGGTAGGAGTGTTTTCTGACATACATTTTTTATATCCTTGCAACTCTAGTAGCTTTACATTCTTTAGATACAAGATTCAATATTTTCTCAAAATGCTTCAGGGCAAGAAAAGCAAAGGATTGTTTAATTTTTAGCATGTGTGAATCAGTCTACTGGCATCAGCAGTGACTTCCTAACAAATTTATGGCTGAAAATCGGTTCCAAAAACTTCTTCAACCAAATTCACACTCTTCATTTGTGAAATTGGTATTTATTCTGGGGTATATCACAACTATACAACAACAAATACTGAGGGATGAAATACACATCTTGCTGTGGACACTGGCAGCATGGGAAACAACTGGAGTAACTCCACAGCTTGCCAAAGGGGACAACTTGCTATATACATATATATATAACTTGCTCATTGAAACCTAAGAGCTTCCTAGATGATGGATGCTACTCTGCAACAAAAGGCAGTTAGAATGATTTCACCCAAAATAGTAATTACCAAACCCCACCAGTTTTCATAGGGCTTTTGTTGCACAGAAGATCTGAAAATCTCTCGTACTTCCCCAGCTGGGATTTTTACCTGTGTAATGCCTTAGGTGACATGGTACTCCCTGATTTTAATGTAGATGATACACCAACAGAAATAGCCAGATATAGTTCAGGACATGCCTTCTAGTCGTATGTGTTCACACACACAGATGCGTAATTTAGCACAGCTTGGAAACACTGTGCCCCTTAAGCTACTGAAATATTTCAGGGCAGATCTTCGGGTGGCTTAAAGAAATAATTGCATTCTCTTTCCACAAAGTTGTCCTAAAAATTCTTTCCCTGCAGCTATGTAAAGGTAATCGCAAATACTACTTAAATTCATAATCATCGCCTCCACCTAGATAATGTCATTATGAGCTCTCAAGCAAGAACACCAAAGGTCTGCTTTCTTATCAAACAGGGCATTTAAAATAGCATGAATAGAAAGAAATGTCCCAGGAACTACAACAGGTGTGAAGCTGTGACCTCACAGCCACAGGACTCTGAATTTAAATTACCTACAAGATGCACTTTTGACTAGCTAGAGCTCCTTTTGCTTATAAAGCTATCCCTATTGCATCACAAGGCACACAGTTAGCCTCTTGCTGTCCTGCTCTCTGCTCCATGTGATCATTAAAAAAGCTTATAAAAGGTTTTTGACTTCTTTTAAGAGAACACATGTTCTCAGAGTTATATACTGCACATTTGCAAAGACTACAAAGAGATTCTAGCAACTGCAAAATATCCCACTATTCAGTATTCATTTATGCTTGCCGTACTCTCAGTACACGAACAGTACAAGATCAATGGTGTATTTAAAAATCAAGACAGTAATCACATAATTAGAATAGGAAATTAGCTGTGAACCATGGAAGGGCAGAGGATAAGAAACAAATTATATCTGTGCTCTGAAGGTAATCTATTTTAGGTTTCTGGAAGAAGCCTCTGTCACTGGTACAGGAAACACGCAGCCTGGGCTTCCTAGGCCCAGGAATAACCAAACGGGAACTAGCATGGCTGCTCCTCCATTTGTGGATCAGAACCCTCATGCAGGTTCTTGCCACCTCCCAAGGCCTGCTCAAAGAAGAGTGGGTACATTTCCTGTCCGACTTGTGTCACTGGGGCCACCATAAGTATGCTTTTGCCACCTCACCTTAGGGTACTAGGTTTCTGTTCTTTGTTAGAACAATGATTTTATGAGCATTCTTTGGATCTGTGCCTCAGAAACACTAGCAGAACAAATATGAGAAACCAGTTTCTCTCCCCTGCTTCATAGCTGTTCCTAAACACAGAGAATGGCATTCACTGATCTCTGTAGGGTCCCTTGGTAATCAACAGAAAGAAACAGTCATCTCTAAAGCCATCTCATTTATTTTACATACCCTTCAGGATTAAGTGATCTGCACTTTCTAGCTGTATTCATACCTGTATTCCAGGTATGAAAGGAACTTAAGAACATAAATTAAGACTACATCAAATAACAAGTAACTATTTCCAGTGTTCTTGAGATTTAAAATAAAGAAAATGGAGAATTTATAGCTATTCTTTTGTTATTAGATCAAAAATCATTTGTTTAGAGAAATTTGCTTCCAATGATTCTAACATGAATCATTTCTATCATTCCCTGTATTCAGAGATCCGAGAGAAATCTGAACTGAGTTGAAGGAGAATGATCCCAAAATAACCCCTTCCCAGATGACACTACTGAAAGGGGACTTTTCTGGATTCAGATGATTCTCATCTCTGCTGCATGTGAAGGGCATGTAGACAGTTCCTGAGCACCAGACGCACTGTCTGAAAAACAGCCTGCTTGGCATAACAAATCTTCAACTTCTATACTTTATTCATAGTTTTCAGGCAAAATAGCAGCTTGACTTCCTATACTCCAGATCATGAACAAGGTGCAAGACCCTTGTCCTTCCAGCTGCTAATCACTGTCCTTCCTGCTATCGCATTAGAGCTCTCTAACAGGCTTCAAAGGGTTAAATTGCTCCCAGTCTCAATACCAAGGTGTGTAATAACTACTTTACTAGTCCTCTACTCAGCCTGCTTGGCATTACCAAATGGCAGTATTAACCCAAACAACCGAGAATGGTTAGTGCATGAGCAAAACCTCTGACCTCAACAGGACACAAAGTTAAAGCAGAAAAATGAACTGAGAAAAGGAAGAAGTACGGAGTTTTATGTAGTGGTTAACAATAGCCAGTTGCTCTGCCCTAAAGACACTCAGACACCCATCCCAGCCTGTTCAGTGAAGTACCACCCCCCACCCCCCTCCGGCTCACAATGAGATGCAAAGTTTTAGTCTTTATTCCATGTTAATAAAGCTAAATCCTAAGAAGGCGGCAAGTTGCCATTTAAAATCTCTTGAGGACTTTCTAAGGCATTTCAGCTGGTACTTTTTGCAAAGAGCCAGTAATGCTTTATTGCTTACCAGAGGCACACCCATGTGTGCTTTATTTCTTGAGAAAGTGTTAGTTAGCAGAAACATACCACAATAAACCCTGGTGATCTCAAATATTTTCTTCTATGCATTTGCATCCTTTAAGAATGTTATCCTTTAAAGACTTTTTAAAGACCTGAGACAAAACCAATGATTAACCACAGCCACATAATCTTGCCTCGCAGGTTTTTAGCAACCACACTGTGGCAAAACTTCATTGCTTCAAGCTAAGAAATTAAGAACAGCAAAGGCCTGCATTGTACCAGCAATGTAATGTGCAGCTCGAAACAGAAGTGGTAAATAGTAGCAGTCTTTTTAAACCCTACTGATGACCAGAGAGATGAATTAGGAGCTGAATTAGGAGCTGAATTAGGAAACCAGGTAACAGGTAGTGAAGTGATAAGAAAAAATGATTAAATTTACCTGTGCCTCACTTGACATCAACCAGAAAACGTACAACAGCTGGAAGACCCAGTATTATATTCAAACTCACTCTGCCAAGTTAAAGTGCTGTCTTTTGGGGCTCTCCCCACACTGGATCTTCATTACTTAGCATCCTGATTCCCTCCAGCCACGAGATGTGGGTGGTGGTTGGTTTGTACAACTCTTCTCCTGTGCTCAAGGAGATATTGATCCTAGGAAAGGCCTTACTGAGTAGCTTCATGAAATGAATGGATAATGCTTTTTCACCATCCAGCTGTGTCTCTGTTCTGTTCAATACATGCACACATATGCACATACATATGCGCACACATAAAGGATCCATTGTCTATATGTGGTTGGGCTACTTACTAGTCTGGTTGGACTATTTGCTCATTTACCTGCCATCCTCAAATTAACTGACCTGCAGATAGTCTTCAGAACATCCCAAAAGGGAGTAGGAAAAGACAACTAAAACGGGCAATTGCTTCTGAATAACTGAATCAATACCCAAACAGGCCTCTCAAGCAAAAAGTCCTCAATGTTATAAAATAGCTTAGTAGCTTTTAAGATAGCATGGAAAGAGAAAACAATAGCTTAATTACATCCCTTTGAGATGTGGTCCTCATCAACATGTAAAGTCTCACAGTTTATCTCAAAAAAAAAAACTAAAATAAACTGTACATTTCCTGCCAGCTGGCAAACAGGTCAGTGTTACTGAAATAACTAGTGTTGCACTCATGAAAGAATTACTGGCATGCATCTGCTCAAGCACTAGTCTCAAGCTTTTTTTTTTGAGGAGCTTGCTAAATATCCACTTTAAAACTTGAGTAGAGGTCAGCTTATCTTGTTCTTAGACAATTGTTTCTCTCAAAATATTGTACTGGGAAAATAACATTAGAAATTCTGTACCTGTGGACTAAGCATGCTTGTGATCCTCCTAAAGGTATGGTGTCTTCTGTGGGCTTTTGTGGATACAGAACTTGCATATGAAATAACTGTAATGACTAGACCATCACTCTGAGCATACTGATGCCAAAAATTCCATCCTTTGAAAAAACATCACCTCTCAACCATCATACTTAAATGTGTCATCATTTTAGGTTACGTAACTTCATCAATTATAAGTAAAGAAGTGGGATTTGAAAGCCTTTGCATAAGGAGTGCAGCAGGCTTTTGGGAATGACCATATTTTTTTCATTCTTCTCATCTAAACATATATCTCAGTCTTCATCTGTTATTTTTAAAACAGAATTATAATCTTCCAGATGTTAACAGTATGCAGATGCTTGTACCCCCTTTATCTCTCTTATTAGTTTTATGACAACTAGAAAGACAACAATAAGCCCTTGTTTCAAAACACAAGACAAAAAAAAATACTCTTTGCTTAAAAAGTTCCTTTTTTTTTCCCCCTGAGTTTTCATTACCAAAAACAAAATTCATCCCAGCACCCGAGCAAACCTCAACTCCTCCCTCACAACTGCTAAATGCAATAAAATACTTCCTAAACTACTTGCAATGGCAAGCCTACACATATGCATTGGCTCTAGCTCACAAGAAGTCACCCAGCCGCATACCCACCACTGGATCCTGCCCTACATCTTCTGGATGAAACATTGCTGCAGAGACAAGGACCCTCTTGGAAAGCACCAGCAGCCCAGCTGGGACAGGCAGTAGCAGCTACCACCGTCCCAGTAATCCTGTGGCAGCACTGACTGCGTCTCCAACTCTGAGATAGCCGTGGCTGAAACACAACAGGAAAATCTCCCCTACAATTGCAGGAAAACCTGCTCCACCTAACCGCCTCCGCCAGGATCCATGCTCCCAAAGCCAGCCCTTCATATTTCTCCCCCAGCAAAATACCTCCTCTCCTCTCCAAGGGCCAGCCTCGGTCGGGTGAGAGGGCAGGAAGAAACAGATGCTCTCTTGCAGAGCATCACAGCACTCTGCCCAATGGCTGCAGCGGGATGGTGCTATCCCACAGCCTGGGTGAGGAAATGCTCAGACATAAGTGCAATTAGCAAGAGGTTGACCTGGACTGGCCAAACCTGTCGCACACAAAATGAGTATTTCCAAAATTGCTGTTCTCCAGAACAGCAGAACTCTGCAAGACAGATTCATGGTAAAACACCAGTTCACTTTTTTTTTACTGTTTCCTTCAAAGATTACTCAAAAACTTAACAGCACAATGACCAGCAGGAGTTTGCCAGAAGTGGAAAGAATCTGAAGAGCACAGTGCCTGAGTGAAGGACTTTTCTTCCTATAAACACCATGGAGACCTCACTTTCTGAAATTCAGCAGGTGAAACACAAGATGATGGCAGCTGCTCGTTTTATTTCATTTTTTAGCCTAACTTAAGTGTAAGCAGTAAACCGCAACAGAAAACTACAAATGCTTCAGCAAAGTGCCCAGGAAGAATCCTGACTGAAGTTACACCAGACATTTGGTCTCCAACAAAGGTGTTAAAAATTCATGCAAAGTGGAAACAGCAGGAAAGAATTGTTTCCTCGTGTTCCTCTTTTTCATGTTGCAATGCTCTCCTTTATACAATGGTAACACAACAAAGTGAAACGAAACGCACCTCAGACATTTAAACATAAGATTGCAAATCCACAGTGTTTGGTCTTTCTTCCACGGAGGAGCCTGCACTTTGTTCTCATTGAAACAATAAACAACTGTTGTGATTATTTAATTTCCTATTCATTTCGTTCCCTTGAAAAAACAGACCAGAGTCCTCACAACTGCACACTCTTCATAAGGTTTTAAAGGTTTCTGCTGGCAATGTCAGTTTGCATATGTGTGGAATGACAGCTTGTAACAGGCAAAATAAGCATGCAGAAAGCAAGACAGATGTGCAGAGGGATTACGATTATTGGGACTCTTTTCCATGGTATAAAATGTCCACGGATGATCTATAGTCAAGAGCATAATCCATAGTCAAGTTATAAGCAGCCCAGCAGGGGCCACAGCACAAGTCCTAGCCCGAAGGATTTTGGATTCCTCAGCTCATACCCTGGCCTTGATCTTTCATTAAACAGCACCACGCAGTTTCTTTGGACTGTTCTTCCAGCCATGCTGGTTCACAATCATCCAGATGCATTTAGGATCAAACAGTCCAAAGACCATTATTATTAGCAGGGGCTGCCCTGCTGCTCTCTTTGTCCACATGATAGTTAGCCTGAGCTTTTCATGCCCTTTGCTTGCAGACAACCAGCCACTGTCTGAAACACAGTTTCAAAAAATAAAGTTTTTTTTATATTTAAGTCTTCTCCTCAATCAATCATGAAAGTGTTGCAAAGCAGTTTCAATAATCTGAATTCTATTGATACATCTGCCTTGATTTCTGCATGTGTGCTTCTTCAGTTTGAGGGTAACATTTTAACAGCACTGGAAGAATCTGTCAAAACTTATGTCTACATGCTCTAAATGATGCTATGTCTGCGAAGGCTTCAGCGTACTTTTCACTGCACACACATGATTATGCACATATATGCAAGTAAATAATTATGGCCTCAAAAACTGCTTGCACCACTGGCTATGCTAGCTAGTTATCATTCAAGCACCTTTAGCTTATGGTAAAAGATGCATCTGAAATATCTGAAATATCTACATCTTCTACAGTACTAATCTCCCTTCTTCCACTTTCTGAACTCTTGTATGACGTATAAAATACACGTCTTCTAGCCTTTTTCCTCTGGGCTACCTATTTAAATTCATGAAAGCCCCACTAGCCAAGTCATATAGCATTATCACAGTTTAACAAGATACCATCTTCAGAGCTCAGTTAGCACAGCTGTGCATTTGCATACTTACGGTACCCACTAAGAGCTTTGGTGAATTTAAGGAAACACCAGATGTGTCAGCCACCAATGGTCCCTTTCAGCTGAAAGTTACCACTTTAGCCACAGAATCAGTAGATTATGTGAGGGACCAGGGTTCACAAATTTCCTTGCAAGGTACAAACTAAAGAATGATTGCTTAAGCTGCATATGGTTGCACTAAGTTACAGAAGGGGAAAGGTGCAGATAGCTGATGGCAGTAATCTCTTAAAACTATGTCCAAAGGATTCACTAGATTTAAACTAACAATGTCCCTAGCCAAATCAGGCTGTCAGGAAATGAAATCTAAGACTCCGAGCTAATATATTACTAAAAAGGTAAGTCAACTTATGTAAATTTAACATAGCTTAAAGCTCAGATACTTAATCTGAATCTACTGAACTACTGTAAAATTATTATTTCATCATGTGTGAGTTCTAAATTATGTATTTCTGATGACAGAATCTCCAGAATGTATCTATTTTCTGTGCAGCCTTTGGTTTCTGCAGAATTCAGAGTCAGCTCTGCATGGGAAGAGTTTGGCCAGTGCAATCCTGTTGTTTAAGGAAGTGGCAAAGAGCATGCTTCATATTCTGCACATTTTACAGCTGTGCTGTATAGTAACACAGTATTATTCCAGTTACAATGGTCCGTGCAATCAAGAAACAGCACCTTAGGAGCCTGATCAACAAGACAGAAACAAGCAGGTGCCAAGTTAAGTTACATGAAATCCTAATTCCAAAAAACATTCAAAATCCTAGAAAAAGATAATACTTGGACAGACTGGGAGAAGCAACTTAAGACAGGCACAAAACTGAACACTTTGTCACTACTAGAATTCACTAACGCACAAACACACAAGCATCTAGTACAGCTTTTTCTTGGGTTCAGCTGTCTTGCTTATAAGTCATGCATAAATGTCTTGGTAAAAATGATCGGACTTGAAAATGGGTCAGGGTGGGTTTTTAAGAAAGCTAAAAAGTAAGATTTTTACTTGATGGTTTGGAAATCTTAATATGCAGTTTCCAAAATTTTGTTTTTACAGCTTTGCCATCTGCCCATGAAAGAGACTTCTCTATGCCACCCACTTCATGTGCAGAACAGAAATACAGCCTTTGTTTTAAAGCTCATTAACTGTGGAATTCTATTGTTATCTTATTTTGACGGACAGGGAACATACATTTTTAGATTGACAGGTGCTGCTGCCAGGCTTATAGTGATTCTCTTTGTATATCAAGGGCATAGAAGGAAAAAAAAAAGGCCATCCTGCTTTTTGGGAAATTAGGAAACGCCATGTCAGCAAAAGCATCTCATGCAGCTTCTTAATACAAGACTGTATCATCTGAATGCAGAGTACCAATTCTCCTTCAAAAGGTTGTTTGATATTAACTGCTCTCTAAGCTATAAACCCCTTCTGTTGTCCCATTGATGGTAGTTTTAATACAGTGATGGGTGACTGTAGGCAGGTATGCCATTTTCCCTTCTAATGCTTCATCTGCATTTTACAATGGTATGTAAATGTAATTTGAATTTGGCCCAATAACCCATGCTATAAATCACCCACCATTAATGCTCTCTGGAGAAGGGCAAACTCTAATTTCAACAGCAGCATGTGATCCTGAAACACTTTATGCCTTGCTGGAGGAACAATGCATAGTACTTGATTCACAGTAGATGAATAGATCATGAATTGCAGCATCAAAGATCAGATTTCCCTTATTCAGACAAAATAGAATCTTTCTAAACCTCAAAAAAAAAACCCTCAAAAAAAAACCCCAAAAATCCCTTTCTTTACAATGTACAGCAGCTCTTTGTAAAATCGGGGGGTAGGTGAGGCAGGGAGAGGGAAAAATAAAAGCTACTCCCATCCCATTTCACTGCTACACAGGACTTGCTTTTAAAAATTCCCTGTGATCAATGAAGCCATTTGCTCAGTGCTGCATTTTGGGGTTTTGGATAGAGAAAGAAAAGATTAATTTCTGTTTCCAATTGCTAGATTAACAATACAGCACTGAATTCTAATCTGTCCCCTTAAAGGGCACTGAGGGAATGATCAGGGCAGGAGCATGAAAACATCAGTAATACTAAATTATTAAAATAAGATTTGAAGCATATCAGTGTGCAAATGCAAGCTTAAGAATGGGGGAGGGGGAAAAACAAAAAGTACCCCAGCCAAAAACACAGAAGCTTGATCCTTTTTATGTCTCCTGCAGCATAGCCCAAAGGATTCAAACTCATCACAAAGAAAAGGTTTCGTACTGAAAAGATAATCTTTTTTTCTTTTGCTTTGTTGTAAACCGCTTTTTAGCAGTATGATGCCAAAACAAACTTGACCTGCAACTTACTAAACATGAAGCCTGGAGTTTCCAAAGACATCCTCTGAAGTCACATTTTCTGCTACAGTATCTGGAAAAGCAATCCTATGTGATGCAAAGAACAATGAGTTCTCAAACATAGGAAGCCTCGGAACTTTGGGAGGTTTATAAATCAGTCTTAATTTTGAGGCTGCTGGCTATATCTAAATCCACCAGTTTTTTATATTTAAAAGAAAAAAAAAAGCATCAACTTTTTTTTTTTCTTTTTTTTTTAGCATAACAGGCAGATTAATCTCTTTGGTGGAGGTGCTTTATAAAGAGGATGTCCAATTATGCTTCATCTCTATGTGATCTGATTCAGGAAACTGGGATACGAATACCATGTTAACAAACTTGAAAATCACTGCCTGAATCTGTTCATGTTTCCATACAGTAGCCATGAAGAACTGTATTAAAGCACTACTTCAAATTTATATTCTTAACTTTGAAACATAACCCACAACTCACAAAAAGATTATTATTATGAGTAGTATTATGAACCTACATCTCCATGAATTAAGTGTATTCTAGCCTCATACCTAGATGCCAGTTTTGCTGAAGGCAACAGTGATGCTTCAATGTTAAAAACGGAAAGTTGAGGTTCCCAATTTGCTCTGCAAATGCAAGCTCAATGCTCAATAAAGCACTATTAGTATTTCCATGTTCAAGTGTCTTAGTAAGTACCAAATTGTCTTTATTACTTGCTTTAAGCCAACATATTCACTG